TGTAACATAAAACATAGGTATGATATTTATTTATTTATTAAAATATTTTATTGCGATCATTTAATATACAGTTATTTTCATAATATATAAATATTTTTAATATCTATATATAATCCCGATATCAAATCGAGACCGTAATAGAGAAAGTATATTATACACAAAATTCATGTTGGGCACGACGGAATTAGATTCTCAGTAACAAAAATGTTTAATTGAATTGAGAACCTGCGGAATCAAAAATTAGTAGTAACATAGAACATAATATTGTAGTATTCTTGTAAGGTCCGTAGTAAGATATGTCTACGACTACTACGGCGTAGCACGTGGCCACGAAATTTTCAGTATGTCTAATGGTTTAGTGGACGACGAGGTGATTTCGCAGTAGTGTGTTCCGTGGCGTACGTCCGGCGATTAGTGAGTACGCAACTCAACCCGAGGATGTGCTACAGGCGAGCGATCGCCCTTGCGACAGCGCGGATGCCTCGAAATTGCACCAACACAACATTAGCTATATATGTACTTACACGCCTTATTAATACGAGTGCAGTTGCAAAATATTGAATTTATACGATGAGTTTTTGTATGTTAACCTTCAGCATCGTCGACCCAGTTGCATTAGTTCGCAACGCTCGAGTTGACGCGAGGACGATAGAATTTCGCTCGTAAACACAACGCATGTGTAATATCGACATATGTACCTTTTGACTGATTGCAGCTTCTGTGCTAGTACTTCTGTAGTTCATGAGTTTGCAACTTGCAGTATAGCACGGAATTAGAAGGGGTTTAAAATGTATTTCTTGTTTTCCTCTGATGTCATTGAAAAAAATATTGTGAAATACTATCGTAATTACTTCAATAAAGAAATTTAAACAAAAAGTCAATAATTACACTGAAAAAATTTAATAAGTAGTAAAATAGCACAATATATTTTTGTGTAACATTAGAAAAGACCGTTTAATTATTTACGATACGATTTATGATTTAATCTAAGTTTGTATCTATGTACTTAGACTTTGAACTCTAAACTAGTCACTGCAATAACTAAGACTAATTTCCATATAGTGCTCCTAGATAAAAATTAGTACTAATAAGTTAATGTATACTATATATAATATTATAGTATTAGATTGAATTTGATGTCAATAAATAATTTTTGTAATACAAGGCACGGATATGCGTGAAAAGTTATGACAAAGCGTATCACATATTTATTTAAGGGGCTGACGCACTTAGCTATCAATATTTCATATGAATTAGGTAATTGTATTTATATCCATACATGTCAATGGTTTAAATAGAAGATCACTAACCACGCCACACCATTACCGGGTCCGGCTCAGTAGAGTCCCTCGTCCGGGAGCTAGGGTGTAAGAACATGTCTTAACCAAAATCAAAATCCACCATGTTGGATCACAAACACACGAGTCACACGGCACTTTTTTAACACGCGCAAATCAAAATTGAGCAATAGGCGAAAATTGTATATAAATTTTAAAAAGTAATTAGGAAGACTAAAATATAGAATCAGAGATTCAGAATATGAATGTTACCATCGACTAGATCGTCGAATAAAGAACAATACAATGATGAATACAAACACAGTGAGTCCTATGACTGGCCACTGAGGTCGATCGCTTTCCACTCCGCGAATGTGGAACGAGTGGGGCGGATTGATCAACTCTCCTTGAAGACGTACTTTTGAGTCAACCTTCATGAGCAATTATGTTCTATATAATTTTGGTCATAAAAGTCCTTACCATAGATAATTGAAGCATTCTCATGAATGTATAATTTATTTCTATTATCCTTTCTTATCAGAGATTTTATATTTCACATTTACATTACATACATGTTTAGTTTATAACTTAAAAAAAAATATTGTAATATTGAAAACTTCTTGTGGAATTAATGTATACGAATTGTTATAATTTTGAGATGCATAATTGAGAAATGTATAAGATATACATATTTTATTTCTACCAAGAAGACTGTGATTCGAGATAGGATAGTCAGTGACAATGTCATCTTGCATTAAGAATATTTTAATTTACTGTGATAAGGGCTTGCCTATGGAAGAACCTGTAAGGTCTTTAATTCATTAAGAAATAGTCAATATCTCTCAGTTTCGAAATAGATAATAAACTATTTTGGAACTGAGAGATATTTACTATTAACCAAAAGTGCAAATTGATATATCATATTCAAAGTTCTCCTCCTTTTTTAACTATGGAAATAAATAATTTGAGATTACATATTATGTAACTAAATAAAGTGGAAGAATAAACTTCGATCTTTATTTTAAAGACAATAAAAAATATACAAATGAATAGAATTAAAAATAACCGGTAAATGCATCAACGTAATAGAATAATTTTAGCTGAAATGATGGACAACGTAAAGACGATCTGTAGACCTCGAATCGTCTGAAAGAGAGCGGAAAAACTACGCCAAGGTCACCACAAGTTGCGCCACATACGTCCACCCAACTGGAAACTCTGTATGTGCTATATTTTTGATATTTACATACAAAGAAAACTGTTTACTACGCACAGACAAAATTATTAGTCATGGTGAGCGCTACGAGATCGTAGCACTCCACCACGGTAGACTACATATGTATTGGTTATATTATATTACATCTTTTCCGTAACACGTAAAATTTTTAAGTAGTTATTTTTTAATTGAATTCATCATTTGATACTTGATTTGAACTTCATGATATTGATAATCTCGTAATAAAAATCTGTTTTTAAACTTATCTGTGAGGACTTTTTAACATGTCATTATTAAATGATATCATGTTCATTAATTAATATTACTAGTAGATATATAAGTAGTAGTAGTCATATATATTTTTTTAAAAGTATGTTACATCAGTCTAATCGTTTTCGTCACCTAAGCTTTACAGGTTCTAAGGTTAGTCAATCTTTTACTTTACCTTACTGCTGGATTATTTCGATGTGGGTGCTTTTCCACTCGGAAGAGCTCCTTTTCCAAAAATCCACCAGTGTACATAAAGAATAGAAAATTGAAAATTATGTAAAACCCAAGATTTTACAACGTGTTATTTAATCATTAATGCCTTAATCTCGTAGCAATGATGTTCCCACTTTACTAATTTGGTACGTGTAGCTATTATTAATATCAATGATATAACATCAATTGGAAGTGTAAATTGGTTACACAAACGTTTGAACATGAGTTGGGGACCACCCGTGTTAAAGATGCCGAAGAGGACTCTTGTCTACTCTGTTAATTTATTATTTCAGTAGCTGCGCTCGCGCAGTCAAAACATCCCACGACGATGATTTATAACGCAATAAACACGCGTTTTATATTTAATGGAAATGGGCTTTTACATATGAGATTACGCAGCCAACCCCTAGATAGTAATTTTGATTAATATCGAGTTTGTTTCAGTCTTTCAAATTGCAAAGTTAAAATAGCTTTGCTAGTTGAGTTAAAATGTTTTTTTATATAAAAATACAAAGCAAAGGGAATATGGATATTATTATACAACCCTACCCTATTATCTTTTTATTAATTTGGATCAAAGAATAAAGAAAACCTGTGATACAAGAATAATAATAATTAACACCAGCAAGAAAATACTCTATATTGTATGTATCCATAGATATGTATTACTAAATTTGGTATATTCATTATAAGTTTAAATATAACTGACAAGCGTTTAATATTTGGGGTACAATATTTAAAAACCCCGAGTGCAAGATTTTATAACATTAATAAATTCTTGATTTGACAAAGAACTAATAAGTATTTATATTCTCTTGATTTATTTAGGAGTTTAAAATCACAATATTCAGTATGTTAGCTCTGTCATAGCTTTTAAATTTATTTGTAATGTATGTTGTAATCTACCAATGTAACATATAAGTTTGTGCTTTTTTGATTCGTTAAACCTGTTTTGACGAATTTATAATGTCATAATATAAATTATTATACGTATACATATTTTTTATATTTAATATACGATATTGCCATAAAAATATTTATATTGAGATTTTTAATCGCAAGTCGTTACTCGCTAGAGGGGTTATCGAGAATGGTGCTATAATGAGGAGTAGTTTACCGCTTCATACATAATGACCGATTCGCTTATCTTTATGGGTTGATAGCGACAGCTTGTCATGGTGGCTGACTAGTGAGTGGAACTGAGATTTTTCTCTCTAATCGACATCGTTTCAATACAGTATGTACGAAAGGATATACTTACATTTATGTAAATAATAATATTACACTCGTTTATAATATTCATTTTTTAATTAATATACTAATTTTAAGTTTGTACTATATATCTATATTAATATTTTAAATAAAGAGATAAATTTTGTCAGTTTTGATGTTAGTGGTAAACTCCAGTACTGTAGCTATATAACATACTACTTTACATTGCGACCAGGGGGAGCGGAGCTGTAATGAAAAATGTTGCTGTATAGGGAAAATATGAAGCAAAAATATTGCGCGGGTCAGTTAGTTGGGCATATAGAGAAATATAATTTTTGTTTCTGTGTTTATTTTTAGTGTGAATATTATTTTCATATATCTATATATAATAAAATATTGTTTTCTTTATGTATGAACAAATTAAAATTACTATTTCCATATCTATTCCAACTATTTTATTGTTTATTCCAATGTTAAAACACTAACTTTAAAAAAATGTTGTAGATTGTGTTTTTAAATCCCTAATTTATTACTTAATTTATATATTTTGGGCACCTTTCTTTTGTTACAGTTGATTGTAAAGTGTGTGTAAGTTTACTTTTTAAAACTGTCACTTTGACACTGAACACAAGTATGATCCGCAATTTGAAGTCATAATATATGACATCCGCATACTGCCTGTAATATAGATATGTGATCGTCGCGCATCTCGTTGGTGTTACGCATCAATTTGTTAATTGATACGAATTCTTATTGCCTGTGTAAGAGAGCATAGAATCTAAAGAGAAGTGCATATGAAAATATAGACTCACCAGTATTGTTATTATTATTGTAGTGATGTGCCGGAGGTGGTGGAATGTAGTCCGACAGCTCGGGCAGGCATACGTTGCTCTCGTACATATTCGGCGGTACATTTGCAAGCAACGAGCGTTCCTTTTCTACGTCTGTGACAATGGACAAGTAGCGTGATAAGGACAAAAACATTACTTTTACAGAAGTGCAAAAAACACAAAAGTACAAAGTCAGCGTGGATATCTCTGTCTCGCCTACTCAAGAAGCTTGCTTTTATAATATTGCAAGGCATAAAGAACACAGGAGTAAGGAGTGGTAAGAACTAAGGTCGTCAAATAATAAAGGGATGCCGTAGTGTTGTTCATATTATAGAGGCAGATTGAGAATAATAGATTACTCTAGTTTTTCACTATGAAGATTTTACGGAAGGACCTGGGATTAGGTGGTAGTATTTTGTATTGCACGTATATATGTACATATACGTATACATAGAAGATTCCTGAACACATTCGTTTGTATAAGGATCTAAGACATTACCATTATACCATCTATATGACGTGACTGTCATGAGTTTTAGAAAATGTATAAAAATGGTCCATGCAAGTTTACCTTTTTGCAGTATTTCTAGATGTTCCCACAGTATGTCGCCCATAAAAGCAGGTGCGCGGGCGACGAACTCTTCCCGTCCCATGGCACATATGTCTTTGCCTTGCGCCCGCGCAAACTGTTGCAGCGCTACGCCTTCGAGGGAGAATTCCCGTGCAGCCCAGCGGAGCCACGCAGCCACGGCACCCTCGCTCCATTGTCGGGGATCTAACGACAAAATACATAATTATTAATTCATTAAATTAATACATTTTTATTATAATGGTTTCTGATTTATTTGATAGCCTAGGTGATCTAGCACCACCTTAGTCTTGATGGTTGAGGTTTCGATTCTGACATATATACAAGTATTTGTATTTATGAGTATGATTGTTTGATTGATGCAAAAAAAATACTTATGGTCTTCTATCAGTTACTTAGTATCTATAGTACAAGTTAGTTTGATATTATAAATTGTCGTGGGTTATTATTATTGTCTAATAATACAATTTTAAACAAATAGTTTCAAATTCTTTACTACATAGAGAATTTGTAAAAGTTATCTGCATGGATGTATCTTGCCAACCAAACAAACCAAGGAGGGATTTGACTGTATGCTGTATTCTAGTTTAAATTTATATTATAATTTGATTGAATTACTTTAATCAACATAAACTATAATTTGCAAATTAAATATATCATATTTATTAAATAAATCATAATTTAATTTAATTTATTCATATACTTACATATATATGTGTATGTACACAGATATATATTTTAAACGTCTTAGTAATTCATCGTTTGTAACAAAATTCCTCATCGATTGCAAAATTTTTCGTCATCATCATCATCATCGATTTAAAATATTTTTTTGATTGGCACAGATGTCGCGTACACATATACATAAAATAGAGCGAAATAGAAAAAGTATCTTCTTATTCGACCCCGGTTGATAAATGTAGTCCGGTCCTCTATTAAATAGTCATAAATGTACGATTGTCAGTGGGTGGCGATGCAAAAACGATTAGTCGGGCACCGAACCGCCGCATTGCCCAACAGCGGAACTTACCACAGCCAGGACCGGAAACAGAGCGACCTTCACGCCTAATGTACAAGTAAACGTATGTCTTTCTAACAGTTAAAGAATCCCATTATAAATTTACAAAAAATTATAATGTTTATTACCATCTCGAGTTTATTATTTCGATACAAATTCGAGATTCTATTTTTTCAAAATATATACTTATTTTCACATTTATATACATATCTAAAAGAGGATTGATTCTGAATAAACTTGTTCGTAAATAAAAATTCATACGAAGAAATAAAAAAGAAAACGGGATGTTCAGAGCTCGCGTCCATCAATCAGAACTCAGAACTATGCAAAAACAAGATAATGTTGGCTTTAGTATTGTACCTTTGTTTTTATATTTAGGTATGTTTTATTTAGGCATACAACGAGTCTCCGCCCCGGCTTCTTCCGGGTACACATATATTAGTGAATTTAGTATTTGTTAACCTTATATATAATATAATTACTTTTTAAACAGTGAAAGAATTCTCCAAACCTGGGTTTTCTTTTCCATATAAATAATCTCTTTCTTTATAATATTAGCATATATGTATAAAGACAAGTTATGATTATTATAACAAGCTGTAATACCGAAAATAAAATCGATCCATTTATTATTATTTTTATTGAGTTGAAACTCTAATTATTAAATGGTAACTTGGCTCTAATACTTTTATTAGTATAACAAATAAATAATGTATAACTATCCACATGCCCAAGTTATATTGAGTAATAAACACCTAATCGTCTATACAAAGTTAAATGCTCAGTAATATATTTGGTGCTCTTATTTTGAAGACATTCGATAACCAACGATTTATTGATTCATTAATCTTTATTATATGGAAAAGTACTACTTGGAAGTCATGGCAAAAAGGAGAAAATTCTGCAGCGAGCACGTTCAATTTAAGTTCCAGAGTCACATCACATCGATTACATGCCCTGAATCGTCGGGGAAAAAGTAAATCGATACAAATGGAGTTATGTGTCGCAATGCACAAATTGCTGCTAGGTGGGGAATTCGAGTTTTTCTCCGCGAACGGGCGAGAGCTTGCTAATAATAAATAATCAGTTTAATTACGGCTTTTAGTCCCCAGTAGCTGACACTCTTTAGTACTACACTTAAATTTATATTTAAGTGTAGTACTAAAGAGAGTCAGCATATATATATATATATATATAAGACTATAGGTATTATTACGTAATATGAATATATAAAGATTTCACTTAGTAAGCGTGAGCATATGTATAAATATTATTTTTTAATCTCCAACATCCTACACGTACGCACGTAGTGCTTATGTTTAAGTTTTTATTACAATTATTATGTTACTATATACACAAACTAAACTTTAGATATATAGAAAACATGGTAAATCATTCTAGTTTCATCTCGTTTATAACTTTTGTTTGAGACGATTGTAAGTTACGAAGAGTATTACATTTACATACGAGTCGAATTGATCGCTAACAGAAGCTTGAGTCGTCCATCGATATGGTAATAGTGGATTTCATTAACAAGACGATCGGAAGATAACGTGCCTTGTATGTTTGTGTTTTGTATGATCAGCATCTTGACTGACATGTGTAATAATGTGTATTCACTATAGAAAACAAATATATTATATTGTACTACAGAACAGTATGAAAAACAAAGCTCTTAAATGTTTAATTTACTTCTCTGTACTAATAAGAATTTGATAAAGTTTCTTAAAAGAGTAAACAAGATTTGAATATACCTTTAATGTAATAATGTAAGTTAATGAAGGTACGATTTTTTTTTCAGAATTGTCATTCATAGTATTTTGTTGACTGTATATATTGTCTCGAGAATTGATTGTGTTAACAACAAGATTCATCTTGTGTCCCCGCCGATCGTTGTGAGATAACAAGTTAACAACCACCACGGCCTGCTGGTTGCATACGAGTATATACACTTTCTGTATTCCTTTATGTTAATCTACGTCCTTTTTGAGAAGTCCATAGCTAGTTTTGTTAGATATTATGCATTGTTTTTGTAATACATATATTTTCCTTTCACTGGATTAATCGTTACTACGGGTAAATATAATACTTTTTACCATAAATTTTAAAATAATGTCAACTATAAGAGCAGAAAAAAGTAGGATGTGTACGGCCACAGTAAACTAAATTACAACTACAGAGGCGTTTTTCAAAATTAGAATATATATGGAATGTAAGGAAGATGCTATTTAAAAAGCAACTTTATACTCAGCGAGCACTTAATAATTTAATAATATGTTATTAACTACTAAGAGCTTTCAACACGGGAGCTTCCCCCATCATTAAGTGTGGTAGAAAGTTTTGTTTCAGGAAAAAATATGTCGGTGTTGCGAGCTATAAGATTATAATTAATATTGTTGTACTATGTTACACTATTTAATTTAGTTTAGATACTGTGTTAGTATTTAACGTATCACTCGTATATTACCTATATTAGTAATATACGAGTAATTAAATATTTCGTATCACGAGTAATTTATTCATTATTAAAAAACTGTTTTCAGTAGTACGTGTTAGTTATTGCAAGACTGATGTTTATGGTAACATTGAGTAAATGGGTAAATATTACGCTACCATGGAATAGAGGTTCACAAAAACAAGATCAGTATGTATGACATGCATAAGAATGTTCTTATCGAAGAATGTAAATTTTCAGTTAGGTACCGTGCACCAACTTGTTTGAAAATAAAGGATGCGACAAAACATGCAAAGTTTGGAGAAATTCTGTTTTAGCACTCCCAGTTATACCTGACTACTAATAAGTAAGAATTAATTTATTCATGAATTTCATAAAAAATCATACTTATATTTTTAATAATTTTAATTAATTTATACTTAATAATGAGACCTTTAATTAAAAGGAAAAATTATACATATATCAGCTTTGTAAATTATTATGCGTATATTCAATTAATTATTCATAAATATTCGCGGTATGTTGTGTACTTATGCGAAACCGTGAGAATCCGCGTCAATCTGTTGTTGTCATTTAATAAATTTGAATAACATTTGTATATATAATATATACAATAATCAGAATTACGCTCCCCGCTGATTTAATTTCGAACCACTCAATAAAGATGAAATATTTTTTAAAACAAATTTGGCACCACTACTTTTATATTAAGCATCATGTGTTTCGTGCTTGAGCCACTTCGCCGACTGGTAGTAAAATAAACGATGTGCCGCCATTTTACGTTATCTATAAGAAGATTAAGTATTAATGAGGTGATTTTTTTTGCATTTAAATTACTCAAAGTTAACTGTCTGTTGTGTTTAGTTTGACCGGTTTCCTCGCTTTTTATTACTTTGCTTATTATGTTGAACAATTAAAAGGAATCGAGTCGGTTTGACAACATAAATAACTATATAATAATGTCGAAATTTGTACATTAATAAAGATTGTCTAATTATTTTTTTCGATTACTAACATGTTTAACTTTTTGCGTTCCCATGGACCTTAATGAAAAAACAGTGTATTATTGGTTTGTTTGTGTATATTGATTTTGTTTGTATACGTTGATGATATTAGTTTTTTTTATTTTAATTGTCTAGTTAATTACCTACATAGGTATATAATTTATAGCAATAATAACGTGAGTAGGTAAGAACATTAAATATTCGTATTATTTAAAATTGTATGTGCTTACTTTATATCTGTATAAATATAATAAATATTTCAACTTCGATCACTGTGTAGGTATTCTACAATATTAATTGAATAAACTTCGTAAATTTTAATATAGCAATAAAAAGAATAATACCAAGCAAAATTGTGCTCTTTTTTAACACGGTTGAAAAACAGAGACAATAAAACGAAGTTCAACAATTTCCATGATGTGTATGATTTGGTGTCGGTCGCGCAGCGCAACGTGCCGCGCCGGAAGCGCGAATAGACGCGCCACAGACGCACGCACTTCCGCTTACGGCGGGCATCGAACCCGCGACCTACCACCTGTCCGCCCTCAGATCTTTATGCAGTCTCGTCTTATATCAGAATCATTACAGTAATTTTTTATTTTTATAAACCATGCAAATATTAACTATAATATTCACTGTTTGTCGTGCTGTCTTCCTAACATTGTTAGGTTTAACTATATATATGAAATATCGTATTGCCACCAGAAATTAAGAAATTAGTTGTAAATAGATGTGTTTATCTACAAATATATTCGTTTAAAAATGTTAAAGACCTTTTACTGCTAAAGGCATGAAAAATCAGTTCAGTAGTTTTGGGATTATCGTAGACGTAAGACGCGACGGAGTTATAATATATACATTAATATAAATAGTGAATGATAATTACAAGTTTTTTGTTTATTATTTAATTTCAAATATTTTACTTTATGGCTGGTATATGGTAGACCTAAAATGGCGAAGTGAGCGTCCGTCGGTGCCAACAATGCGTGTGGCGTGGCGCACGTCGGCGACACACGTTGCCATTACCATATGTAAATTATCCGGCATTATACGACCGTTTCGCTAACAGTTTTTGCTTGTAAACTCATGTATTGTATGGAAACGTAATAATTTCTGTTTTTACTGCAGAGTACACATATTATACTTAATAATTTGATTTTATAAAATAAACTTATAGATTAATATGGGACAAACATCGGAGAAAACAATACAAATTATAATAAAACCTCATACTAAACAGTCGAATTGATAACCTCTATTTTTTGAAGTCGGTCAAATAATATTTTATCGTTTTACTTGTAACATATGTATTTTAAAGCGGCATACATATATGTTTTAGAATAGACAGTCAGCAGCACCGTATTCTGAAAAAATATTGATAACATCTCAAGGTATGTTTCATATAATATCAATACGTTACAATTTATGAGTTGTATGATTTAGAAATACTTGTAAGATTCGTTATTATCAAGAACTTTTAAACGGTTTCATTAAATCATACTTTTATGTCCCTACATGCTAGTCGTTTGTCTTTTATGAAGTCGTAACATTGGTCATTTAATAACTTTAATAAAGCTGAAATTAAAAGATCACAAGGGCTTCTTTATTCCTAACATATCATATTTGAAATTATGAATGTAGAATTGAAATACATATTCATTAGTATTACAAATCATTTTGTTTACTGATTTATGAAAATTAAAAATAGACCGTTTCCGTAACTCTCAGATCTAAGGCGATTGAAGTTTATATAATTAATTCTATTTTATTGCATTTTCTTCCCGATGATAAAAATGCTTTAGAGAATGATCGGACTGACGCATGGTGATTTGTACTCATTGCAGCAACATAAACATTTTTTCATATGGTTTGTCCAAATATATTTTATTGTACCTGTTTGTTTATAGCATAGACTTTATTCACTATATTGCATCTCTTTAAAATTTTATTATTTTTATTTATCTTTGGACTCAAACCTTGTGGGTTCTAAGTCGAGGTAATGAACCATTATAGCTTCATGCTCTTAAATGTAAATATTAGATATCATTGGTATGATCTATATGATCACACCTTGTTGCAATGACGAAGTTTATGTACAGCTTACCTTTGGGGACACCGAGGCGCAGTTGCTCCTTTTCCCAAGAAGCAAAGGTGGCCTTGAGCGCCTCGGCCATCTTCTTGTTGGTGCCGGGCGTGAGCGGCGGCACCTGCGATGGGATGTCTGCAACAATAATACCAAAAATAATGTTACAATGTATTTCTGCATATTTGTAATACTTACATGCATCGCGTAAATTCGTATGAAATAGATCAAAGTATGATGGTATGTACGTAACTTAAGATGTTTGTTATTAATTATGTTGCGAAATGCCCTATGTGAGATGTCTCTGTTCATTCCAAATCAAGATTTTCTTACCTTTTATTCATTTACCAATATAATATTCATAAATTGATATATGTAAATTGAATTATAAATTTAATAAAATATGGCGTTACATTTGAAAATTATTCCACATAACGTAACTATTACACTGTCGCAACATTGGACATTAACATTAATAACTTTTTCGCTTCAAACAAATATTATATAAATATTACAGCACATACAAGCCTTAGTTCTGGCTCAGATGGAGAGTCATTCAAATCGTCTTTAGCATCAGGCCCTCTAACTTATTATATCGGTGATGTTTTATGTACCGCTCATCAGCCCAGATCATTATCACCCCGGATTAATTACTTTATCTACGCTATTTACATCAAGTACCGAAGAACAAATTAATAGCGGAGTTTTTGAGACTTGATGGCTTCGAATAAAATAAATCAGAGATAAACAAGCAAGCGAGATTGAATCTTCCATGTCTGAGTTCATGTACGGACGCAGGCTTCATTCATAAGTGCGGCTGGTTTGTGTTGTGAGTGTGTGTAGGTGAGTTTATGTGTGCGTGCTGCGCTTGCGCACCTGCCGACCAGTTCTGAGATGCGGAGATTTGTGCACCTCTCCCACGGTCGCTGCCCGCTTGAGCTCTGATCTGTTCTAGCTAAACCTCGTACTGATATAATTAAAAATTTTCTTTCTATATGTAAGTAATGTATGTAAATCGTTCTAAAATTTATATTTATTGCGAGTGTTGAGTGCGGCCATCGGCAAAGCGAGCATACTTTCAAGTAATCAGGAGGATTTAAATGTTATACAAAAATAATTAAATTATCTGGAAATTAAACATCAACTAATACATAAATAATTAAAAATAATGACAAGAAATAGTCGTAGTAATATTGGAAGAAGTTTAATGATTTGGTATTACATTGTAATATAGCTACTTGTTTTAGAGATGTTTGCTTTTCAATAACAATTCCGTTACCCATATTCTTCCGTCGTGAATGAATTTTCAATTAAGAAAATTCACGTATACCTAGGCAACACTTATCACTTATCATAAGGTAGGCTATATTGTGTGGCATTCTATTTACATGGGAAGGAGTAATGGGAAAATGCAAAATTGTATCTAAATTCGTCTAGTTTGCTAATAAGGCTTGTGAATATTCAACAAGGAAAGTATCTATTCAGATGAATTGATTTGCAAGGATTTATTTACCACTACAGTAAAAATAGCTATGCATGTGGAATGTAGCGAACGATTTGTGTCTCCGGTGTAGCCGGCGGGTCCCCGGCAGTTGCGAATCATGACGCTAATTGCAGCGAAACAACCGCTGTGATTTACTTGCACTGAGAACTATAAGCAGGTGCGTGGTGCACTTGACTTGCGAACACAATGCAATGGTCGGGAGATGCCAGATACGCTTACTGATACAGGAGATTGCTTTATTTATAAGAAACTTTAAGAGAGATGGTCGCAGTGACTATCAACTAAAGGCAAGTTATGTTTAATTGAGTAGAGAATAACCACATGATTGTTTGTACCACAGGTTAGGTATAGCTATTTAAAAGGTTCATACATGCATAAAGTAACATTACCAAAGATTTTTTCAAATTTCCTTCAATAATGATGATATTCAATAATGTTGTGAAAATTGGGATTAGGTCTTGTCTAGGTCTTGCTATCATTTACCATTAGATGAGGTAGATCTCATAAAGTAAGAGGTATAATAAAGTGCAAACCCATTCATGATAAAAAAAATTGAATGAGGGGGCTATTTTTTTCTTGGTTATTGTTTCGAATTATTGAGACAATAATATAGAATTTTATATCCGTAGTACTATTGTGCGAGACAATATCGGATAAAATCTTACACAGTGATTGTACATATTCGTATCAATCGGTACACCTGCGCAGACCAGGCATATTCATATACATGTTGCATTACGAGATTATTCATACTTAAGGCAGGCATAGGCATACGTAAGAATATTATAATTATTGTACAAAGTACGCAGATATAACTATAAAAAGAATGTTAGGTATATTCAATTTGTACATCAGCCATTATCTAGAATGTCTAGTTATAAGTGTTCTAGTATATACTTTAGTTTTAAAGTAGGTATCAATCTCCCAGTTAATTAATAATTAATTATTTTATTTTAAGTACAACAAAATCTTCATAGTAACAGAAAAGAACATTGATATACTTATCTATTTTAAGTATTACAGTGAGCCAGTATGTTGACAATACCATATAAGAATTAGGTAGTATCAAGGCCTTAAAGAATTGGTAATATTCCCTATGGAGTAAAAAAAGTATCACCAGTTTCGTCTCCTTTTCTATTGTTAACAGAATTATGTATAAGCATGTTGGTTTTTTATACAAAATTTACATCTGATAAATCATTACACAGTAGTCGAGTTGGATAGTAATATAAATTTATTGCATGGGTGTAATAAATACAATGTACAGTCGGTTTCATACACATAGATATTAGGTACATCCAGTAAGGGATAAAGTACAATAAATATTGGCAGCAAAGTATTTAAAACTATATAACACTGAAAGTTGTCGAATTATTGTAAAAAACGTTACGAATCACAGCTTATAAATTCACTAACGATATAAAAAAGCAACCTTAATGTTAGTGTCTCATTAAAATTGAAATCAACATATTTATTACGTAACTAGTTTAAATGGTAATATTCTATTATAGTACAATACCTAGTTATATTTGTGTAGTCTGATTGATTTTAAGAAGCTGACTGTACCCGTGAGATTTCTGCGATACACATCTCGAAAAAAATTGTGTAAATTAATTATAGTTTTATTGGTTTTTATACTGGTTATACGAGTTACAAGATGATGGTATCGTTTTATAAACGAGTGGAAATATAGTCCAACGCCTGCTTACTGTCGCTTCAATAGTCAATAGCCAAACCATTTATTCAATTTAAGCTCTTTACAAGCACTTATGAGTGTCAAATTAAATTAATCTACAACCCAATGGGAACATAATACAGCTTATTCACAGTTCTCAATGTTTAATACTAATAGTACTTCTGCTCGATGACCGTATGCAATTATTTTCAGTGGCCACAGCATTCAAGTTGACATTTACCCTTTGGAATGGCATTCTCGAGATGAAGCAAAAACTTTATGATGGCGTGGCTTCCGTTTCCGTAATTAAAGTAATTAATCCTGAATGATTTCGGTTTAATTGTCCTGAGGCTTCCCGATGAGCCCCATCCGTTGGTACATACCTAGTAACAGGATACCGTAAGAACATACTTAATATGAATGACTTCTTAAATTTGGTTAATCCTTAATGTAACAATAATATATTTAATTTTGATGTTTTGTTTATCAGTACTCTCATGTCATTAAATCAAAATTGTTCCGTGCCCATCATCTGATCAAAAAGCATCTCTAATGCATATAATTTTTTTGAATTGAGAAGAACGTAGTTGGTTTATTGTGTTCTTTTTGGTAACATGTTGTGTTTATGGTGTTGTTGAAATAAAAATGTATTTATCTTATAAATAAACCACTAAATGATAACCGCTATCACTCTCCCACGGTTAAGTTCATTAATTATCAACACAATGCGAGATGTTTGGTATCATAAATAAATAGTTTTTATGCTCACCGACACTAGACATTAGCAATGCAAATCAGATGTGATACATTTATGTAAATAGAAGGTAAAAGAGCGACTCCGTCCACTGCATTACAAGACGAGATGTCTCCATTTTTTAATAAATGATATTATACATACATATGTTTCCAATCAGTCACGTCCATTATGTAAATGTATGTCCTTTATTTATTAATCACATCACATTTATTAGTCTGTGTCATTACAAGCTTTCTATTCATCTTACTTCTTAGTTTTTTTCACTGTTAGGGTTAAAATTTGTACTTTATTTTTGTAAGAGATTACAATATTCGATTATGTTGAAAGGCGTATCTATTCAGCATCGTTGTTTTATAATAATAGTCTGATGAGGACGCTAGAAGGCCGCGATATTTTAAATAGTATAAACTGTTCATTTAAATATATTTAAATTAAGATAATTCCTTTAATCGACCAAAATTATCCCATGTGACAGAGTAAATAATACAAGTTCCATTATGTGTTTTGGAAATAATTTATTTTGAAATTACTACCATCATAAACATCAAGTGAGTCATGAATACACCTCTGATTTTTGAGACAGTATTCGTCAATAATGGTGCCTTTTTAAAAATCTTTAAAGCTCTTGTCGCGTGGTACCGGCTCTCATATAATGACAGGCCTGACCAAATAATTGTAGGGCCTGAGGATATTACAATATGCAACAGGTAGAATGATTATGTCAGCTGTTGTGTTCATGACTGCATATAGTACCCGTTCATTTTAGGTTCCCCGATATCTTTGTCTAAGGCTGAGTTGTTTTAAGGCTGAAGATTTTTCCACAAAATAAAATAGCAGCTATGGAAGTTACTGTTTTTCTTTATAACAAGGACTTTATGAGTATGTAATACTCCAGCAGTATAGAATACACCAGTATATTTTGAAAAAATGTTATATGTTTTCTTTAATACATATAAAGGTATGTAAGTAAATATATAAAGTCATAAAAATAGAAGAATCCCATGAAATGAATGAAAGTGGTAACGATAGAAAAATCTTCGGTTCAATTAAGTAGGTAAGTAAGTAATATTCAAAATGAAGTTATATTGTGTGGCCCTAATACGCTGAAAAGATCCAGATAGCTTTGTTTTCAATCTTCCAGGTCGAGGAGAGGTGCCGAGGCCACTAGAGGGTTTGAGGTTCGGACTGTGCCGAATGTTGAATAGCGGAGATAACGGCACAAAGGACCGGAGATGCGGTCTGTGATCGCCAAATAATACGAGGACGCAAACGTAACCTTCGCTTATTTAGCACTAATTAGCACATACTGCATATGTGATAGACTAAAATAGGTAATCGTATCTCAATCATTTTACAAGCTATATATATTCTATCCCATTTTGGGGTAAACAGTATGTAGTTTCTACATTTACACATTTTTTCATCTGGGATTGGGGCTATTACTCGTTATTGTCAAAATGTCAGTTTTATGGGCGGTTGATAAAATTAATTGAAATTAAATAATTCGATGAGATTAGACAAAATTCTTTTGACATTTCTGCCCTGCAGTAAGTACTTGTAATAAAAGTAGCAATCGAGAACTTTTCTAAAGTCAGTTAAAAACTTTTCTTCCAATTCTGCCAGTAGGCACTTATTTTAATTGTTGAGCAGTGGGTCAAACATGGTGCCGTTGTTTTATTCTAGTCGCTCTAATTGTGCAGGCGTGCCAACAATGAACAATATAAGCAACAGGCGAGCTGTTGTATAGAATTCCTGCACATGCAGTAACAGGTGGTAAACAGGGGTCGTTCAAAAGGGGAGCGAATGAGCACTTGTTGCACCCCATTTATAAAACCGAAACATAATACCGTTTTAAAATATTCTACTTGGAATGCGAATACCTAGTACCTATATTAGTATATTTTTTGTATCATTTCTTTAAAGAATATTAAAATGAATTATAAAGAGTAGACTTATCTTGTAGACTTGTACTATCGAAGTGCAAAATCAGAAACATCGTCGTATGTTGACAGTGTAATGAATATTTAAATAACTATATTATAGTATTTATTAATAATTTGGAATAAATAGGCTAGCTAGCTAGCTTGCTGCGCCATAGTGGACATGCTTGTCGGTAATCATAATAGCGAAACAAAAGCTCGCGCCATTTTTACATCTGCCATTGTTCACTGTTTGAACTTGGAACGTCGCGTGACGTAAATGGCGCGTGCGCAGTTTTGCATTCAAATCATCTTGTGTAATTGCTTGTATTAATTCTGAATTAACGTTTTTTTGTTTACAAAAAGTTATAATTTAATCATACTTGTTTCTCTAATGAAAATTCCTGTAATTGTTAAATTAACATTCGTATAGCTATAATTATGCAATTAAAGTTATTGATTGTTTATTATAGGTGTTTTATAGCAGTGTGTTACTGTTTATAGCAGTAACACTGGTTTATAATAACATAAGTACACACGTGTACATAAGTAGGTATGTCTTTATGTAAATTTTTCATTTAGATATTAATAAAGTTGTATACTTATTTATAATATTATGTTATCTGTGATATTACTATTGTGTAGTTAATCACCAACGGAAAATAATTTACTAAATATCTACATATTTTTCCACACACTTGCACAACTCTTTGTAGACGTGAGAACTATTTATTTTATACTGGACCACTGGCCATTTGTCAGTGCGTATCACCCCTCATACTATTCACCCATGAAAAAGGGTTCCTCAAAATGTGGTAATAATGCCATATTTAACGGTTCCTAGCCTATTGACGCGGAAAATGAGTAGAGAACAACGTTTCAAATAATCATCTCCAGTTAATTTTATTGAGGTATTACCCACCTAATCCATTGACGTAATACAATTGTTCGCGTGTAATGATCTCAATATCTAATTAAAAGCTATTGTGATGTATTTTTGTAATACCTGCACCCTGTTAGGTATTAATGTAGAGCGTGCATTATTACTTAGGTGTAGGTTGGTATATTACAAAACAATGTATTTATGAAAATGTTGTTGTGAGAGACTGGGTAAGTATATTTTTAATTATAATGGCAACGAAAAATATATTACATGTACGGAAATTAAACCAGCAATAAAATAGAGTAACTAAATATCTTACTATTTATAAATATTTTAAAAAGAGTCATTCAAAAGATGTTTTATTTTTCTTACCGGTTGGTTGGGCTGATCAATCGTATGCTAACAAATTGGTACATGAGAAGGTCCGACATGATTGTGTGTGGAATAATTTACAATCTCGATCATGGTTCGACCACTAAACGTATATTTGAATGATATTCAGTACACACAGTTAAACCATACAATAATAATTATCACTACATAAATAGAAAATTTCCATAACAATTCGGGAGGGTTAAAACGCCATTCGCTAAAAAGACAGTATATCAGGTAACAAATACTACTTAACTAAACATTTTGAATTTGGTTTAACGTTTTTTTATCTTTGTTAAGTACACGTACCTTATAGTGTATAATTATAATATGTATGATTCATTAGACACTTGCCTAGTTGGCTTTAGCTAGTTGTCCCTCAAAAGTGTGGTATTTTAAGATCTTATACCCACAATCTTGATACTAACAGACAATGGTGGGTCATATTATCTTTCAGTGATCTCTGTTGATGACGACTGTAGGCGAGAGACCTTTGCTCAATGACAGAGGCGGCACGGTGCGGTGCGGCCGGCGCGGGCGCATCAACTCATTGAGCGCGCACCGGATGGGCCAATCAGCTGCGTGAATGGACGCCCCCGCGCTTGCGCGCTCTCGTGTTATTAGCTCCCGTACTAGATGCTGTTTCTTTGTTGCTCGTAAATTGTTATAACCTTTTATGGTTTCGGAATGTGAGTAAATCCGCTGTTGTCTTATTGACAGCATTGTCTGACTATCGGCTACCGTTTCTTTGATGGACCGAGCATTGTTATTTTACTCAAGTGTCAATAAGTCGACTTTCCACATTATGTGCATTTTAACTTCGGACTCCTAGGTGGGTTATATTAGCTTGAATGAAGTGTTGTACTTACTATTGTTATTGAAGGTTTTCCGACCCTGCTTATGTTGAACTATTCTTTATATTAGGTATTATAAAGATTTATATTAAATCGTCAGTATAATTATTTACTCGTATGTAATATTACTTGCTGCTAACTACTATTCATCTTTGTAACCTTGCCATATTAATAACACATCCGATGTCAAATTATTTATATTATATATCCATTAGTAAAATCTATGCCAAAGCTCATTTAGTTAAATTATACCTTGTATTACTTGTCGTCTGTTCGTCTACAAGATTCAAATTGTTACCAACTCTAATGATGACGTCTTGTAACCAGAATGACACTATTTTGATAAAATATTTTTTCTGCAATTGAACTGTGTATACAAACATTGTTTGTTGGTTCTCAGCTAACAAAGCGCACGAGGTCTTCGCTTTCAAGATCATCGGAGCATATATACGCTAGGTGTAAGTCATAATTACGGTAATGAGCTATTGCACAACGGCTCGCTCTACCTACACCGGACATGCGATATTACAAAATTCATATTGAAGGAAACGAACATTGCAAGACCGGGATTATTTCTAATTTCTAATACTTCGTTTAGAGCACCATAAACTATAGTTGACCATAGACAATCGAAACGTAACTATACCTACATATATTTAGGTACAAGATATAGCAATTTCAAGTTATAGTTACCTAAATATGTCAAAAATTTTGAATACATGAATTGTATATATATATAATAAATATTTTTCTGTCTTAATCACAAGTCAAATTCATGTTACGAGGGTAGAAGAAGACATGAGAATGACAATATAAAAAACTAACTTAATACATTAAATTTTATATAATTTATTACTTTCAATACCCAATATCACCTAAACTGTTATAAACGCGTGACTTCTGTTGGACTCAATTGATGCGTGTAAAAGTATATATCGAAATGATACACGATACACGATAGTTAATAATTTCATAAAATGTACGTTTTCATATATTTCTTGCGGTCACGGCTGGTACACATTCGGGACAAGTGCACGCGAAACCGAGAGCGTTGCGTCACGTATACAACGATGATACCTTTTCACAATCGACAATTGTTCGGTTCAACCTGAAGCGATATCAATACAAGAATCTAAACCGATTATAGAGTAACCATTTGCGGTTTTATAAGGTTTTCTATCCTTTAGATGTATGTAATCCTTTAGATTCTGTAGGATTACATGGCTAATGGTGCACAGTTAGAAAATGTATATACGATAAGTATCGGCCAGAGAGTAAGATCTGTGGTCACTATACTATTTAAGATATATATATCATGTGTTTTATTGTGGACTCACCTTTTGGCTTATTGAAAGCTTTCATCATGACTTTGATTCCCATGCCTGCGATGGCCGCCGACGCGTCACACTGAGACCGCTGCACGTTTGACAAGTCCCAATAAACGCCCGCCAGCAGGCTTGTTTCCTTTTCTTCTTATAAATAGTATTTTTTATCACTATTTGTTAATATTTACAATAAGCTTGTAGTAACACAATGTCTTTTATATAAGTAACTTAAATTTTAAATAAGATCAATAAATATCACACTGTTTTTATTTATCAATAGTCACTAGTGTCGTCAGTCTAAACACTCCTCGCTATTTTTCATTTTGCCGGCTGTTTTTGTTACGTTACGGTCGAAAAGTTTAATCTTTTTGTATCACTGTTCATGATTTGTTAAATTGTTTATATCACCACCTGCTTGGAGAAATTAAAGATTCAACGAATGCATTTGACTCCCTCTTCCTAGCTTTGTCTTCATGAAATGTACACTGAATGTATCAAACTAAGAGCCTGAACAAAAGAACTGACACAAACACACTTATAAGTACTGAGCAAAGTATTTTCTAACGAAGATAATGCATATAGAAAAAAATAACAAGGTAATGCTTTCTACCAGGCTATCAGCGACGCAGTGAAGTCAAACGGGCAATATTCAAATTGCACCGCACATTCCCACAGGTGCGTGGATGGATCCGACACAGGCGCTTCCTGCCTAATACCCCACTTGCCCTGTTTCCCGCCACCCGCACCACCCGCACTTCGAACCCCTACCGCCGGTTCTCACCCCTCACTTTAACCCCCCGCGGTATACCAGCCCTGAATATTCTCACACGGTCCGGTAGACCATGACGAGCAATTTCGCTAACTTTTACGGTCAGTGTCAAAGTGCACTGTTGTCGTTGTCTAACAATTTCTATAAACTCAGTATAAATGTATCAATTAAGAATATATTTAATATTTTAGGACTACTAAACCGTATCTACGTATATAATAGTATTAGTTACTATTAGTGTATTTTGTAGTAGAATTTGTTAATCAATGTAGAGTACAAATATGCAACAAACAAACAAAGGACCTATGTTTATTGAATTAATCAATATTTAAAGTAGGTGGTCACAAGTTTTGTAGCGCATATCGACAAGCAGTTAATAAATTAAAACTTAATAGGATTTAGCAAGATCCTTGTTTGCTTATCATTTTAAATTGACATTTTACCCTCATCACTTATGTGTTATTATTGTAAGCAGCTAAACTAGTTAATTGTAATGTTTGTTGTCATACATAACATGTGTTTGCCTTTAGAAAGTGATGAATAAAACATTTCAATAATGAAGCATAATAAATTGATCATATTGGTACTTGTGATCGCATTGAAAGTTCAAGGGTTAAATGCGAGTAAACATCTCTATTAAATTTTAATAACCGAAGGGTTCAAATTGGTTAGGGCAAGAAATTACGCTTTATCGGTTGCTTATTGTTAAAACGCATAATAATTAATTTCATTGTAATATCTTATCGCTTTCACACGAAATTTTAAATGGTTCTTGGGAATGCCTGTTATCTATTATGAGGATGTTAATCTATTTCTTTAGCTTGAATGTAAATGAGGATAAGATACTAGTGAATATAATTCACTTTCTTTTCAAAAGATTATCTGGTAATCATAAAATAATGTATGTTTAGTAACGTGCGACTGTTGCATGTTGGTGGAAGATACATTTATGGTCGATTATTTAATATGATGGGGGCGACAAATTGTCCCTAATAAAAATCACATTTGGATACCGAGGCAATATCAGTCACAATAATGGACCAAAGAATTGTCAGCAACAGAGTTTGTACAAATGTATTTACACACGTACTTTATAAATTTATATTTTATTTATAAATTTTATATTACAAAGTATTTATTTCGAAAGTTTTACTATTTTTTTTATTTATAAAATAACTCATATACTTCTTATTTCTGTGTGATGTATCTATTATTAGGGCCTCTAGTATTATTCCGTAAAATTGTGAACATTGTTCGAAGTGAAGTTGATTTATAAAAGATAGAAGATTTGTTCGAGTATATCTCCTCTTGTTTCAAGCGTAATTCAGTCCAGTGAACTTGTTCAACACGACAATTGCTCAATGCCCCTCGAGAGAATACTGCAAAATTTATGTATTATGTTTACAGAAAAGTTCACTTAAATTACTCACGTTGTCATCTAGTGGTGACCTTTTTGTGTCATTATTGTGAAATACAATAATGGTTTGGACCTATTGTGGGCAATTTGGAGGCGCCGACAATAATTAAATGTTAAAACGTGTTTTATGAATGTAAAATTAAACATCTTGTGGCTTAATAAAGTACATTTTTATTTATAAGGTAAAACTTCAAATAACGTTTCTCAATAAAATTCATAGTCATTTAAGTGTATAGGTGACTTTGGGCTATTTAAAAAAGTATTTTTTTTTATCACTATCCCTACCGCCCAGTTCGTCTAGCTACTTCAATTAAGAACTGGCAAGAAATTCAATCGTCGATCTATCTGTTATATCTATGGTATAGTGAGGGTTAATCATGTAGACGTGATTGACCGAGCCTCGGGTCAACTAACTCAATTGTCGCGCCCAATTTGTTACCCCACACTGACATCGATCTCTTTGTAGTTGTCACTATTTGTTCTTTGATTTAATATGATTTGATGTGAATCTGACTCAGTTACATATATATCTTACAAATAAAGATATATATGTATTGAACAAGTTCACTGAACTGAATTACGCTTGAAACAAGAGGAGATACATAGAGGATACTCGAACAAATCTTCTATCTTTTATAAATAAACTTCGCTTCGAACAATGTTCACAATTTTACTGAATAATACTAGAGGCCCAAATAATATATATAACAGAAGTGTAATGTACAAATATCGCCAAATCTCTATATTAAATAATTATAGAGATGACATTATACCTGCGTGTGATACCCAATTGCTAAATTTTTAGTTCGTTTATTGTGTATAAACGAATTTGGCTAGTTGAATTGCACTCAGTATTTTATTATTTTTATTAGATACCAGCTGCTATTGACTTTATTTAACTAAAAATGAAAAATTATAATTTGTAATTGTGTACTCACTTCTTACAGGTTAATTTCTAATTGTATTTTATTACCCAAATATGAATCTGAAACATGTATCTAAATAAAATTAATTTCCAATAGTATTTATATACCTAGTGATAATTTTATTCTGATAAATCTAAATAATTTGTACCTAATGTAGAAACCAGACATACAAGTGAGATAGCGACGACATTCAAGCAATTAAAGTCTCACAATAGTAATTAATGCCTGAGGCTGAATCTCTTCGGCAAATATAAAGCGTTGGGTGTCAATTATATTGCGGGATTAACTGAGGTCGGCTCTAGCTCAACTTCGACCCTTCTAATAGGAAAGTGGACACCCGCATAAATTGAAGAGACCATAGACTAATTTTAATTTACTTGAGTATTCTCCGTTTATTGAGTGGTTTATGAAAGATGCTGGTCATAGTTATGACCAGCATCCAATTATCATTTGTAGTTACAAATGATAATTGGATTATTTTACGAAAAAAGAACTATTTTCTGAACTAATATTAAATAGGCGAAAGACTTGATTATGTTGTAAGGAATAAATTTTAGAAAATACTGAGCCGATTCTATAAATCCTCTATCAATTGAAAGGAAAATTACAGCTATAGTGCCGCGGGACACGGTAAGTATTACATAAGGATACCAAAAATGCAATGTGTAATAGTTTCGATTGTATATTGCTTAAACGTCGTGTGTTTCAAATGATGGGAGAGATAGTTTCCCGCGCCTCCAATGTTTTGATTGACGACATACGTGAAATTTTGCGCGGTTTTGTGCGCACATCAACAAACACGGCGACAATGGATGCTTCGGAGAAGCGTGTGACGCGCAACATTCAAACACATTCAAATGTGGAACAATGCAAGCTTGTATAACAAGAGTTAACAATTTGGCTGCGTGTCGATGCAAACAATACGATACGCATTTTGTACGCAAGAGAGCTTTATACAAGTTATGTTATGGTTTATCTATGTATGTGTGCAGTGTGTGCATTCACAGTAAATATTACATATCCCAGAGTATACAAAGATCGTTGCTATCATTGTATGATAACTCATAACGATGAAATATTAATGCAAACAATGGTTTGTATCAACATTTCACGCTGCATAGATATCTAAATAGTTTTGGGGAAATTATTACATATTTTAAAGATAATGCTAACTCAGATAAGATAATATTACATTATATATATACATTACCCACTGCAGTTTTCTATTAGAATATAATAAAAAAAAACAATTCATGAATTGAATCGACCGAGTATGCGCATGTTAGAGAATTTTTTTAGTTCATTATTTAATTTTCGGCCTTCGTGTTTCACCTTAGGAAATTTATTTTCTTCAGTCATTATACGAAGTTATCCAATGCAGAAATTTCAAAAAAATCTGCGTTTTGCATACCACAAAGAATTTTGACTTTTAGGTAACATAATAAATAGATTTTACGTAAGTTTCTTCTACTAACAACTACTGAACTTGTCCCTCCATATACCTAACTAATAGGTGCGTGTTAGTTAAGTACACAGGGCCAGTTGATTCTTATTACAATTTACTGAACCGAGCCTAAGCTGTTATTCACGATGCTCACAAGTGATTTGACCTCTGACTGCCCAATTAAAATGTTTTATCGCTTTTGTCCCGGCACGTATGACTCTATTGTGATAATTGAATATAGGTAAATAGGTACCTATAGGTAACTACTCTTTACTGACAGTAAAGTAACTCTGAGACAGTAAAGTTAAAATAAACATGAATAGGTATAGTGTTTCTTGCGAATCTATTACGATGGCTAATTTAAAAATTCTCTACATCTACAGGAATAATAAAGTAAACATGTACCTACATGACAGTATATTTTGTCACCTTAATGGCACTGTTCATGTCTATAGGCAACAGGTATCATTTTCCATTAAGTAAGCCATTAACTTATTTACTATTCCTGTGGTATAAAAAAATATTAGACTTGTTACCTAGGTGTGGCAATTGTACCAATATGTCTATCATTAGCAACAGCCCCGCTGTTATAGTTGGTCATGATTACACTTTTATACGCATGTACTTAGAACTGTTAATTGAGCTAAATAATAGTCTTTACTAGCATATCTACATGCATGTATGGTAAACTGAATAGTTAGAAAAAATATAACTAGCACGGTTGTATGCAGTGGCCTGGGGATTGCAATACAAAAAAAAAACATGTTTTGACTTAATTTGGATAAAAACGTAGTGATTACTGACTTAGTGGCGTTGACTTCAGACGTAGCTCTCATATTAAGCAGTAGGTAACTA